AAATAGCTTGCTGCCTTTTTCTACACCAAATCGATGGCACAAAGGTGAAGATTTCGACAAAGGAGGAAAGCTATCACGAGAGGGGAATCGACATTCTTACTTTATGCTTTTATGTTTCCTTATTGACTCATATTATATTTTTGCTCCAAATGTTGCATATAGTTATGTCATAATTTAATAGATACCGCAAGTTTATGTCTTATGTTTTCTTATATGGAATGATATAGCTACATGATGGATTCATATCCACCTTAAATAAAGCTCCACGTAGACTCTAAGAATTCGATTGATGTAAATATTTATTTTGTTATAATTTTCTGCATATTACTTTTTTCTTTCGGAAAAATTCATTTTCGATGTCCACATTTAGAATAATAACAAAATATAGTCTTAGACCCACGCAGTGCAAAGGCATCTTGTTAGTTTCATATAAGAGTGGGTAAGATCAACAAAAGTTGGTAAATCAAAATCAATCAAATAATTGTTGGTTGGAAAAAAAAAGTTGGTAGGTAACTCAAAGGAAGTTGGTAATTTAATATAAGAGTTGCTAACTTCCGGAAAAATTGGTAAGTTCATTCAAAAGTGATCAATTAGGCGTCGGCAAGTAGCTATAATAAGAGTTAATCTAAAACTAGGTGGTAACTTAATTGATAAAGATATGTCACTACTCTTAAATCAAGGTTGATAATTTCGTATGAGAATCGGTAAATATTTACCACGCGGGTAAGTTATAGTTTCCAAAGTTGGTAATTTATTGAGACTCGGGGTAATTTGTAAACAATCAAATAAATGTTAACAATGGAATATAAAAGTTGGTTACCGCCAAATAAGTAATTTACCGGTTACTCTTTTTTGTGAACTGTGTTTGAAACTTACCAACGTTTGCTGAAAATTACCAACACGTATTTTCTGTCGCTCTTCGATAGAATCGTCCCTCTCTCTGTGATCTTTTTAAGTCTGCGCGAGAGGCTTCAAGGAAAATGGATAGTTTATTAACAAGGAAACAAAGATGATTCAAACGATCACCCAGTGAAATATGTAACAAACCTCTCCCCCAACTGTTTGAGGATGAGACTGCTTGTAAGTTATGCCAAATTGTGAATTCGTGGCCCGTTACATAACCATTGAAAATCTCTACTTCATACTAGATTGGCTCGCCTTGTTGTTATGAGCATACAAACTAGCAAACTGTCGCTGCATCGTACTAAATGCCAGTAGAACGGTGAGGACAAAACAGAGCCTTGCTACTAAAAACTAAGAAATACTGGTCATTGGATGCAGCTTCACCTTGTTAACCCAATTTCCCTTTGCTAGCAATGGAATGCCAAAACAAGCGAAGCTCGAGCTCTTGCTCCCTAGGAACTCAAGATTTGACTTATACTTTCGGTAGTAAGCTTAGAAAATTGGGTCCGGATTTGGGATCCTAAGGATTAGTTTAAGGAATCGCAAAAAATATATTCAAACAAGCGACTAAATGAGAATAGCAGATAAACAAGAAGTTTAATGCATGGTTTCTGGTTGATCTTCCATTAGGCTTGTTTTTAACTCAGATTGTTTGGACAGGGTTGTGCCCAAGTTACAAGAAAATAGTTGTTGTCTAGTTTCCTTGTGTTAAGCACCCTTGCTCACCGTCGCTGAGAAATAAAATGCTAGTTATGAGAATGAGACTCGACTGTGTGGGAAGGGCTACTAACTTGATTCTTTCAATTGATAAATTCAACTTCCATTGTCCCATGTGAAAGAAAACAAGGGAGGAGAATGTGTATGCATGTAAAAGTCTTGAATTCACAGGAGGGAGATGGAGAAGAAGCGGGTGCTATCAATCCTCTGAGGTTTTGTTGCCTTGAGGAGCACTTTAAGGGTCAGGACAAGATTGTGCAGATCCTCTGTTTCTGACCTTCCTGTTCCATTCCAGCTCTATAATGCCTCCAATGCGTGCCTATCATCTAGTTGGCGAACCTAATTCACTGTCGTGTGCTGTCCTTGCTACCGATGGAAGAACCGTTCAAAAGGGAAGAATGAGAAGAGAACTTGGAAGCCGCCATGGAAAAAGAGCAATTACTGGTTAACTCTCTCTGGGGGAGTGACACGTTTTTATGATGAGAGCAAGCGGTTGGCCAGTCGCCTTTCAACTTGTGAAGTGCACACCCGCAATTGCGATGGTACCGCCTCCGCTCGATCTCCACATCATTCACCGACAAGGCTGTTGTTTGCGTATTTCTCTAACAAATTGTGATACTTGTCTTCGTTAAATTTACTAAGAATAGCATAGAAATGCCCCTCCGTTATTTAAAATCCCATTGACATCTTTGTGTATTCTTTCACACTTCAATTCCTGTTTACCTTGGAGAACCGTGCTTGGTGTGACTGAGAAAGTCATCCATCTACAGGGTCCATAAGCTACCGCCAAGGACCTCGCCATGAAGTCTATTCCGCGTTGTTTCACTGGAACAAATGTGAAATCTGCTACTAGAGTTGACCAAGACCTCTAAAGCAGAACTGACAGTTTGCTTAGCTGCAGGAAAACGTGAGCAGTTGACCTTTTCCATGGAAACTTGAAGGATTTCCACTGCTTGCTGGAGAAATGTATTTCTGAAAATTGGTCTCGTGCCTAAAGTGTCGGCAGACTTTTAGACAGCTGGTTAATTTGAATTACACTAGTGTCTTGATGACAGAATTTAGTCATAAAAAGAAGGGTTAATACCACCAAAAACTCCAAACTGGTACGCGTATGATAATTTTACCCCGAACTTTTTTTTTTTACCACCAAAAACCCCAAACTTGTACACTTGTGACAATTTTACCCCAAACTTGTACACTTGTGACAATTTTACCCCAAACTTTTTTTTTTACCACTAAAAACCCCAAACTAGTATACCTGTGACAATTTTACTCCAAACTGGTAAACCCGTGACAAATTTACCCTAAACTATTTTTTTTACCACAAAAAACCCCAAACTGGTACACCTGTGATAATTTTACCACGAACTAATAATTTTTTAATATTATCTTTTTATTTTTTCGAATTATTTTTTTATTTTTTCTTTTCTTTTCTTTTCTTTTTTTTTCTTCATCTTCAACCTCTAGCTGGTCGCCGGTCCGACGACCGGCCAGAGGCGGAAGCCGGCAAGGTTGGCCCCGCCGGCCGCTGGCGAGGCTCGACCTCGACAGCGCGGGCGAGGGCAGAACCTCGCCGGCGCGGGCGAGGGCCGCCCTCGCCAACGTCGGGCGAGAGCTGTCCTCGCTAACGTCGGGCGAGAGCTGTCCTCGCCCGCCCAGGCGAGGGCGACCCTCACCTGAGTCGGGCGAGGGCTGTCCTCACCTAACGCCGGCGAGGGTTGCCCTCGCCCGCCTAGGCGAGGGCAGCCCTCGTCCTACGCAGGCGAGGGCCGCCCTCGCCGGCCAGAGGTTGAAGATGAAGAAAAAAAAAGAAACAAAAAACAAAAAAATTAATAAAAATTAGAAAGAATAAAAATAATAATATTAAAATTTTAGTTCAAGGTAAAATTGTCACATGTGTACCAGTTTGGGGTTTTTTGTGATATGTTCAGGGTAAAATTATCACAAGTGTACCAGTTTGGGGTTTTTTGTGGTATGTTCGGGGTAAAATTGTCACAAATATACCAGTTTGGGGTTTTTAGTGGTCAAAAAAAAAGTTCGGGGTAAAATTGTCACACTCGTACCAGTTTGGGATTTTTGGTGGTATTAACCCTTAAAAAAAATACCATAAAAAATTTCAAACTATATCATTTATAACAAATTCATCCTGAATTTTTTTTTATATGAAAAACTTCAAATTATGCCACTTATAATATATTGGGAAAATTTCAATTAAGGGCCCCAAGTGGGGTCAAATTCTCAAAAGAGGGCCCAAAGTGAACATAATATCAAATAAGGGCCTGAAGTGTCCAATCAGTCTCAAATAAGGACCCGAAATGCTCAAAAAGTCTCAAATAAAGGCTTGGGTCGCCGGCCGGCCAAAATACCCTCCGGGCGGCGAGAATGTTACTATACTGGCACCGGAACAATAAAATTTTTATTTTTTTATTATTTTTTCCTTTTTTGTTTTTTTTCTTTTCCTTTTCTTTTTTTTTCTTCTCTTCCTCCGCTGGCCAAGGGCGGAGGTCGCTGGCCTCAGGCGAGGCCGCCCTCGCCTGGGCTGGGCGAGGTCGAGTCTCGCCAGATCTGGTGAGGGCTCTGGCCCATCGTGGCCGCCGGCGAGGCCGACCTCGCCCGGCCCCAGCGAGACCCCTCGCCCGACGCCGGCGAGGGCTCCGCCCCGCCGATCCGGGCGAGGCTCGACTCCGCCGGCTGCGTGGCGAGGCCCTACGCCTTGCCGTGCGTAGTGAGACAGCCTCGACCTCGCCGGCGTCGGCGAGGCCGGGCCTTGCCGCAGTTGCAGCGAGACCGGCCCTCGCCGAGGCCGGCGAGGTCGAGCCTCGCTGCAGGCCGGCGGGCCGAGTCCTCGCCCGATCCGGCGAGGCCGACCTCGCCCGCACGGCGAGCGGCCCTCGACGCCGGCGAGGCGGCCCCGCCCGGGACGCCGGCGAGGGCGCGGCGGCCTCGCCCGAGGCCGGCGACCTCCACCGGCCCCGGCTATGGCCGACGGAGGAAGAGAAGAAAAGGAAAAGAAAAAAAATAGAAAAGGAAAAAATAATAAAAAAATAAAAAGTTACTATTCCGATGTCGGAATAGTAACATTCTCGCCGGCGGGTATTTTGGCCGGCCGGCGACCCAGGCCCTTATTTGAGACTTTTTGAGCATTTCGGGTCCTTATTTGAGACTGATTAGGCACTTCAGGCCCTTATTTGATACTATGTTCATTTTGGGCCCTCTTTTGAGAATTTGACCCTACTTAGAGTCCTTAATTGAAATTTTCCCTAATATATTTGCCCCACAAAGTATGAATATTTTTGTCCTTTTCCTTTTCTCTTCCTTCCGCCGGCCATGGCGGAAAGCCGGCGAGCGCCCAACAAGTCCCTCCATTAAATTTAAAACGCGAGAACATTATAGAAAGAGAAAAAATCTGTATCCTCAGATCTGTCATTCGTTTGCCGTGGTTTCCCATCCGATTAGTCTTGCTTTCAGTTTTCATCCTCATAGAATTTCTAAAGATGAACAGTACAGCAATCACCTTCGTGGAGAAGCCGGTTTCCAAGTCCCCAGTTTCATCGGATGCATCCCCGGGATGTGATTATGATGTGTTCTTAAGCTTTAGAGGTCCAGACTCTCGCAAGGGCTTCACAAGCCACCTCTACCAGCGACTCCAAGAAGCGAGAGTTCGCGTGTTCAGAGACGATGACGAGCTTCCTCTAGGAGAGGAGATTGGCCCGCAGCTTTTCCGGGCCATCGACAACAGTAAGATCTCGATCCCAGTTCTCTCGGAATGCTATGCTTCCAGTAAATGGTGCCTTTCTGAGCTCGCTCGGATGCTCAAGTGCAAGAAAGAGATGAAACAAGTGATCTTGCCCATATTCTATAAAGTAGAGCCCGCAGATGTGAAATGGCTCAAAGGAACCTTTGGAGATGTCTTCAATTCGTACACGAAGCGGCGTTTCGGGGATAGCGATGTCCAGGAATGGAGACAAGCACTCAAAGAAGTTGGATCCTTGAAAGGACTGGTATCCGAAAATATTGCTAATGGGTAATTCCAAAAGCTGATTATTTTATGGCAAAGTACATTAGCTGTTTAGGCTATCGACCAGTATCAATTTGCCAATTCATCTTGTTGCTTATTATCTGAGTTTGTTCTAGTAAGTTTTACTCTTGATATTTGTTCATGATCTCAATCATGAAACTATTTTGACAGGAATGAGGCAGAGCTCATAGAATGGGTTGTTGTAAAGGTTTTGAGCGAGTTAAAGAATGCTTTTAAGTTAGTGACCCCTAAACACTTGGTGGGAGTGGACATTCATGTAAAAAAAATTATGACTATGGTAGATACTAAATTTGAAGATACTCGGATACTTGGAATTCATGGAATGGGTGGTGCTGGTAAAACAACTCTTGCCAAAATCATCTACAACGAACTGTCAAGCCAATTTGAGCGCCACGGCTTCTTAGCAGATATCCGAGAAACGGAATCGCGTAAGGGAATTGTGCACTTGCAGAAGGAATTGATCTCTGAAGTTCTTAAGGGAAGCCCCCACAAAGTTTCTAACAGAGACCACGGAATCAATATCATCAGTTCTAGATTTGGAGGCAAAAGAGTTCTCATTTTTCTTGACGATGTGAGTGACAAAGATCAGTTAGATGCACTTGTGGGAGGTCATGAGTTTTTCGGTTTTGGAAGTAGGATCATTATTACAACTAGAGATAAGGCTATTCTTAATCAGTTTGGGACGTCATACTGGGCATATGAGCTCATGGGATTGGACAAAGAAAATGCTATGGTTCTATTTTGTAGACATGCCTTTCAACGTGACTTCCCTCCTCCTGCCTTGAACGATCTTTGTCGTGATATTGTCTCAACTACTGGGCAGCTCCCGTTGGCTCTTGAGGTTATTGGGTCACTCTTATGCGACAAACCTGAAAATGCGTGGAGAGAGGTATTAAAGAAGTTGAGAAAAGTGCCTTATAAGGAGGTTGAGGAGAAGCTGAAGATAAGTTACGATATGCTAACCGATGATGTGAAGCAAATATTTCTCGACATTGCATGCTTTTTCAATGGAACAAATCCAAGACTTCCAATTTATATGTGGGATGACTGTGGCTTTTCTCCGAACTTGGGACTAGAAGTGTTGAGTCTCATGTCCCTGGTTAAAATTGTCCAAGGCTACAGGGGAAATAGGTTATGGATGCATGACCAATTGAGAGATCTCGGTAGAAGTATTATTAGTAAGGAAAACCGTGTGAAGCCAAGTGAATGCAGTAGATTATGGATTCATGGGGAAGCTTTTAAAGAACTCGAGAAAAATGAGGTACAATGTTTTCTACTCTCAAACTTTTACTCACCTCTTGTAGGCTATAAAAGTGCCCTATAAGGGTGGAGTCTCATAATTCTAGCTAAAAATGGTTGTGTAGAATTAGCAAATTTGCGACACCATCATTTTAGGCACAATATCGCTGATATGGGGTCAAGCATATTCATATCTGAACGTCTCTGTGTCATAATATACCCCATAAATGAAAAATTGGACCTCTGGCCTAACTTGTATAGTCTTGTTTAGACATTTCCTGATTCAGTGGGACAATATCTTAGTTTGCTACGTGACGCAATCACACACAATCGGTTCGACCTGTAAGAAAACTGGTCAAAACCAGAAACTCTAGTCAAACTAGAAAGTGGTCGAATTGGATTAATACAAAGAGCTCTCATACATGGTAATGAAGGATGCCTGGCCTCAATTCACCTATCCAGGTGGGAGTGGCAATGCTTTTATGATCCTTAGAGTATAAGTTGGATGGATATACAACTATACCAGATATTATGGATGGAACAAATGGAACAATGTGTCACACTTTCCATTTGCCTAGATTCGGGTCCTGTGCAACAACCTTATTCCTCAGTTTCTGGGCACTTGCAGGGAACAGATCAGATCGAGGCCCTCCATCTTGATTATTCTGAATCGCTTTCTAAACCATACTGCTTAACAAATGAGCAGTTTCGAAAACTGCCGAACTTAAGGTACCTTCGTGCCCACAACGCAGAAGTCACGGGAGATTTCAAGGACCTTCGTAAATTAAGATGGCTTGATTGGATGGCCTGCGAAACGTCTTTTTCCCCTGCGAACTTCCCTCCAGAGAACTTGATTATTCTTAATGTAAGAGTTGGCGGTCTCACAGAGCACTGCGACACATGGCACCATGTGAATGGATTAGAGAAGGTAAATCTCTACCTTCTTTTTTCTTTTGCAATGTATATGATAAATTCAAGAGCTAACGTTGCTATATTTTGTTTGTTGTGGATCACGAACCAGCTCAAAGTTCTGAGGCTTCTGCACTGCTATAACTTGATTGAAACTCCTGACTTCTCAACTCTCCAGAATCTTGAGATTTTGAATCTTGAATATTGTGTTAATCTGGTCAAAATTCATCCTTCTATCAGGAATATCAGGAATCTCATATCCTTAAGTTTGACGGATTGTGAGAAACTCAAGGAGCTACCTAAAGAAATGGGGTGTCTAACAAACTTGACGGAGCTTCTTATTGATGGCAGTTCCATACAAGAGATTCCCGTGTCCATAGGTCGCATGAGGAAGCTTGAGATTGTTTCTGCTTGTAATTGTAGATCATTGGTCCAAATTGACAGCTCCATAGGATCCCTCCGGAAATTGCATAGCTTGTTGCTGGACAGATGTCGCTCACTGAGTACACTTCCTGACTCCATTGGAAAGTTGAAATCTTTAACCCAACTGTCTCTATCAGAATCGGGTGTCAAGGAACTGCCCCAGTCCATCGGGGATCTACACAATTTGAAAGTTTTGCTCATGGCTCGGAGTTTCTTAAGAAGTTTACCTAGAACCGTGGGAAGGTTGAAACAGCTTGAAGAGTTAGATGCCTCGGGGTGTAAATATCTGCAAGGAGAAATCCCTAGTGAGGTAGGGGATTTATCTTCACTGCGAGTCCTTCGGTTAGAAAAGACACGCATTTCCGGTCTGCCAAAAACCATTCACGAGTTATCATGTCTCCAAGTGCTTGATTTAGGGAAATGTGAAGAGCTACAATCTCTGCCAGGGCTTCCCTCGAGCCTAACTAGTCTATATCTCGTCTGTCAGACAATCCCAGATATTGCCAACCTAATCAATCTAACACACTTGTCAATGAAAGTCGAGGATTTGAGTGCCTTAACTACGATGAAGACCCTCTCTCGACTTGCTGAATTCCAAATTGAACTTCATGATAAAATTGAATGGCTCCCAGATCTTCCCTCAAATCTATTGAAACTTGAAGTCAGCCAAGGTCCAAATTTGGAGAGATTTCCAGATTTGTCAAATTTCAAACGCTTATCAGAATTGCATCTTCGTGGTTGCTCCGAGTTAACAGAAATCAAAGGGCTTGAAGAACTTGTGTGCCTAACTGCTTTGACAGCATCATTTTGTGAAAAGCTATATAAGCTGGAGGGCCTTGGACGTTTGGTCTCATTAAGATCAATCATCATACGGGGTTGTAAAGCATTAGAAACATTACCGGATCTTTCGAAATTGAAATTTTTAAAGATCTTTGATGCTGCGGATTGTGAGAACCTGGTTGGAATTCAAGGTCTTGATAGATGGGAATACTTGGAAGAACTAGACATCTCCGTGTGTTATTCCATTGAGAGTTTACCAGACTTTTCTAACTTAAAGGGTCTGAAGATATTAATTGCTGGAAGTTGCCTGAAGCTAGTTGAAATAACAGGCCTTGATAATGCTGAACACTTGAAAGAATTAAATCTCTCTGACTGTAGTTCTTTGGAAAGATTACCAGAACTACCATGCCTCGGAACCTTGAAAAATCTGTACATCAATGGCTGTGAGAAGATCCGTGATATCCAAGCGCTTAGGGAATTCTCTTCATGCAAAATATTATACATTGAAGAATGCAAGTCGATTGTAAACCTTCCGGATCTTTCGGAATTTGAAGATTTAGAATACTTGACAGTGAAGAAATGTCGGCAACTTGCGGATGTTCCAGGGCTTGATGGAGCGAGATCGTTAAAATTTATTAACATTTCAGGGTGTGAGATGCTTGAGAACTTACCAGATTTGTCAGGTTTAGAACTCTTGGAAGAGCTAAAAGTACGACATTGTGGGAAAATAACGGAGCTCCAGGGGCTTGGAGGGTTGAGAAGCTTAAGCTTTGTGGATTTCTCCGGATGCAACTTGCTGAAACCCCCGGAATTACCTAGCAGAACACGCCGAGTATGTTCATCGTTCAACCCATTTGACTACGAGAATCCAGGCCCGATTGTTTTGGGGTGATTTGTAACTTACAACTGTCTTTTTGCTTCTGAACCATGACCTGACCTTTTTCCCCTGTTCAACCCATCGATTTGTTCTTGGCCACCACGAAATACTCCTTTGTCTTTTCCCATCACGGACATAGTGATGTTCTATCTTCTTTGCCATGTGATTTGACTAGCTGTAGTTTTTTGTTCCCTATATTTGGCCAGGTAAAGTGACCTGCTGCAGTTTACTCCTTTTCTGCCATGTCTGTATGACTTGCAACAATCAGTTCCAAAGACCAACTCCCAAGTCTGCTTCATTGATCAGTAACCATGCATCGGCAACTATTGCATTGAATTTTGTTTTTCTACACTTGTCTCTAGGGATTGCTTTTGTATTCTAAACTGGCCCTACATCGAAGTGTTTTTCCGTTGCCAGCAACAACTTGCATATTGCTGATTTTATGCATTATCATGTAGAACATTCATCTAGGGATGATGGTGTGACTCGATTAGCCGACTGTACATCTTCTAGATAACCATCAGTGCACTTTGGAAAAACCCCCTCATAATTCATTCAAGTTAGGAATGGACAGGAGTGACTCTTTTTGGGATGCGTGGGATTGAGTCATCCTTCGTATTATGTGAAAGTGAATATCTCTGAATCTAACCACGGGGGGCTGGTTCTGTGGTCAAGCATTTTGGATGAGGCAGATCCTTAATCAATGCATGACTGAGAGGTTCGCATACATACATGGATTACTCGAGCCAAAAGATCTGGGCCCTCCATGTTACAAAAAAGAAAAAGAATTCCATCTATGGTCATCACTAATGAGATCTAAAGATATACCAGCACCAAATTTACAGTGTTTACTTGGACAATTCCTCCTGCTGTTGCAACTCTAGATGTTTGACTTTACTTACCCCGATAATTCCATGTTTTAAGGACGAAATTGACATAAAAACATCCAACAAAATTGTGTATAGTCAATGATGAGCATGTGAACTCGAAGACTCTGAAAAAGAATGTCTTGAGCTGGAAAGAGAGAAGAAACCAATGAACTATTAGTACCTCCGCCCCAGACTTTGACTCTTTTCCGCCCATTGAACAGGCGAAATGGAGGATTCCTGTTTTAAATCCGAAGCAGGGGACTGAAGATTTAGAATAGAGAGGAAAGAGTTAGCTTTTTTTTGCATCGAATCTTTTCTTAATCATCTGGAGGAGGTGAGTGGGTTAGAGAAAATGGAGGAATAGACAATGTGACTTCTTTCTGTCGTGGTGCCTTTTGCATTGGTCTTGCTTTTTGTGCTCATGTGTAAGAAAAGAAGACCAAAACCAAACAGTTTTGCTGAGGAACCAATAACCACTTCATCAAATGATCCGGCTTCTTCGCTTGGATGCAATTTCGACGTTTTCTTGAGCTTTATAGGTCCTGATTCGCGAAGGGGCTTCACCAGTCACCTGTACCAGAGACTCGTGATACCAGAGTCCATCGTCCACAACAAGTTTGAGCATGTTTTCTGTTGTGTTGGTTTCTGCGAAATGGTCTTTTAACTTGATTAGAATCAGATTTCAGTTCACTGACAACGTATACTGTGCATTTATTCATGAAATATACTCATAACCGTGCAAAACTTCTAAGCGTCTTTACATTACATTGTTAACTTGGAAGTTCCACGAGTTCCAAACAGAATATCCTAGTGCGAAGCAGCTCATAAGAGCTATATCTCAATGAACAGGAAGATATCTCGAGGTGATTACAGAATTTTCAACACTCCTTTCTGTTTATGATCCATGATACTGAACTTTTCTCCATTCCATAGTAATAGTAAGTGGTTGTTTGGATATGTGGAAGGCTTCAACAGTTGGGAAGTCCATTGGTTATTAAGTTCTTCATCAGTAAATACTTGACTTGATTAGCAGTGGCATACTACTACATTGAAAAACGATGTAGTGTAACCATGAACATCAGGGTACAGGAATGCAATCTTCTGTACGGATTCCAAATGCATTTGTGCATCATAGTTGCAGGCAAAATGCAGAGTTCAGCATTGAGCAACAAAACACTCGAGTACAGGTGACCTCATACTGAATATTTGCATTGCACTCGCCGATCATTTATTAAGAGACCAAAGGTGATACATTTCTGAACTTAAGAGGGACAAGAGTGACGGCATCACTTCACAGGCAAAAACAAGAGGAGCTGTAATTTGTAGAAGATTCAAGTAGAAAGGAGAAGTAAGGCAAAGTAAATCCTTCAACGATCCAATATCATTTGCTGCCAAAATTCCTGTAAAAGTAGTCCCTGGAGAGCATATAGAAGACCGCTAAATGTTGCGAAATCTTTTTTGCACTCTCTGGGAAGCATTCGTAGGAACTTCTTCAAAAAATTTGCTTCGAAGCGTTCTTGTGTTTTTCAAGGAACTTCTTCATTCCTAGACATGGAACTTCCACAGAGAGAGACTTGGGAATTTGGGGTCTACTAACTTCAATTAGCACCTGAAGAAAGTTTTTTCCCATTCACTTTCCCAGACACAAGTTGAATTGAGGAAACTGCATATTTGTGCGGAACCAATCCTCATTCTCCTTTCTGTTTGTCAGTTGTTTTTTCCTGTTTTCCTAATCTTCGAACAATCGCGTTCTCTGGCATGCATCATGCGCAGCAAAGTAACACTGGACTTAGCACATAGCCGTAGTCCCATATATATGAAGCTCTTCATTGCTTTACTCTGTTCTAGATTACAAATAGATCTTCCTGTTCACAAATTGCCAGGATGTGGTTTAAAAAAAACTGTATTGTATTGGGTACTTTAGTCCTAAACTTAGACTCCATTTATTTCGCAGAAAATGTTATCTTCCTAGAAAATATTTTTGAAAAAGGAAGATGATTGTATTTCCTAGTGTTTCTGCTAAACACATGAAAATGAATTTTCACCCGTTTGGAATAGGCTACCCAATCTGCGACTGAAATTTAACAAACCAAATTTGGTGTGCATATCTTGTTTTTTGGTAAGACAGGCTAAACCGACCTGAGAAAAAAATTAAAATTCGAAAAAACATATCATGATCCGTCTTAACCAAAGCCCAAATAACTTGCTTCCAGGGTGCAGACCAACCTCATAGGCTCATCCTCGCGCATCATCACGAGTCTCTCTACTCGGACATCATCTTAATGTCTTTTAATATCTTCATGGAACGAGTTTAAGAACATACCACAATTATCTGGATGAGCAAATTCGAATCATATCTCTCCCTTAGCTAATCTCAAGACATAAAAAGGAAAGAAATAAGCCTTAAGCTCTGCAAAATGAGAATATCAATTCGAAGCCCCCTAAATCCAAACTCATCAGAAGATGGATAATACCATAATGTGGACCTGAAGGAAGACATATATCGACTATACACCTGCGGAGAAGGACAAACCTCCTGAAAGAAGCCAATCAAGGACATGTTTGGTGCTTAATGATCATTTCATTAAGAAAAAAACAGCAAGGCATTAATTTGAACCGTGCCAAAGTGATTCATAGTTGCTACATCAACCTACAGTATCAAATCCGGCACCTTATTTCGAAAATTATTATTGATTTATTACTTTCCTTTCTAGAATTACAAATCTTTCCAAATAACCTGTTCCTAGAATTCATAAAACCGCATGGGAGCAATTTCACTTCTTTCCGGAATTGTTCCTCCCGATTTTTTTAATATAACTTTATTTGTTCTTTTTTCTTTTTATTTTTCCTTCTCCCAAATATCAGAAAACATTTTCGGTCACATATATTAAACAAAGGAAAACTATCCATTTTCCTGAAAAATGATTTCCTAAAAAGCTTTTTCTTTATTATTAAGTTTTCTCCCAAACAACATCCTAAATTAATCACATGATTGTGGTTGTGGACCACAAATACAGGAGGAGGAAAATTGCTAACTTTTTTTTGTCAAATGAAAATTACTAATTTGAATACACTCATCTGCGATCATCCCTTTTTTTTTTCTTACCAATCACTTAAAACAGGTTTCCTGACCCGTTCAACGTCCAATATGACCTCCCAAACTTTTTGTTAACCTTTTTTTTTTCCTGATATTTTCAGGACATGTTGATGCCAGATACAAAAATAATATATTATATACTAACAATTAGATCCGATTGCAAGTCTAGTAGCATGCCCAAAGCGCTATGAGGAGTCTAGACAAGTAGCATTATTTTCAAAAATAACTCCGATCATTATTACAGGCAAAGACGCATCAAGCTTACAACTTTCAATAAAATATAGTGTTGTCATCTCTGCTGATGTCCCTGGCAGTGGCAGGGCTTCCATGGAGTCGGGGCATAAGAAACAGATTGGACTGATTTTCCTGATGCTGCCTAGAGAGATCAGTTGAACATGCGGGTCTGAATTTAGAAGAGTCGACGGTTATCTATCCTCCTGTAAAATATGGGTTTTGACTAAGTCAAAATAAAATAAAATAAAGAAGAGAATAGTGGAGGAAGCAAAAGGAGAACCATGGAAGCTTCAGCAGAGAGCGTGGGCTTTCGTGAAAAAAAAAAAAAAAAAGGCCAGCAAGTCAACAAGTCAACAGAAGCTACAGTGGACTTCGGCCAAATTAAAAAGGAGGCCGAGATGAGAAAGCAGAAACGGAAAAGAAAGAAAGAGAGGAAGAGAAGGAGGAGAAGAAGAAGGAGGAGAAGAAGAAGGGTTTTGCGCCGCGCGAACCTCGCCTAGCCGATCCGACTTCGTATCGCAACGCTCGGTAAGAACTCATGTCCCTCGTTTGTTCCATCGGAGTAGTTTCGGATTTAGGGCTTGAAATTCGGAATTATAAGAGATTCAAGCGGCGAAGTCCGATTTTTGGGTCGTAGAGCTGCGTATTTTTATAGAATTGATAGTTTGTGGTGTTGTGGAGCCGTGGGATTTTACGGATCTTGATTTGAACTTACGGTTTGCCCAATATGAATTTTTGAAGTTGGCCGCACATGGTGAATAGTGCGCGACCAGTGGGCTTTAGGCCGATTTTAGTTGGTTTTCGGCTCGATTTTGGGACGGCAAAGTTGGGGCTTTTGTAATACTCGGAACGGGCTTTCTTTTGACTATAAGTTTGCTAGGATCGGAGTTCGGTGGAGAAAGTTATGGCGCAATCAAGTTTCACGCTCAAGTTCCGCGTTGCGGACAATTTGGATAATGGTTTTGGATGAGCAATTTGTGGGCGTCTTTGAATTGTCTTGTCAGCGTTTAAGCGTCGTTTAGCCGTTTAGTGATTATTGTAGTATTTTACTTGATTTTGATGTCGATTATCGTTCAATTGATAGGATTACGAGATTATCGGGGCGTTTAGCCGCTTTATTGGTTTTGGGGCATTCCAGGTGAGTGGTGCTATCTCTTCTTTGGGTTTATAAATTCATGCTTTGAAAGTGATAAGCATTTGAGTATCGTATGAGTTAATAAACATGTTTAGTGCATAAAAATCTGGATCGAGCAATTACTGCCATTTTGTATTTGAGAGAGATTTGAGAACGGTTATATGAAATGTATTATTAAAGGATATATGTGTACCCCTTTGTGAATTGATTTATGAAATGAGTTTTCGAATGATTTGAGAAACACTTTACAAAAAGGATTTCTGGTGGTTGAGTTGAGTTGAGTTGTGAAATATCATATACTTGATTTGTGAAATGTGTTCTGTGTGACGAAGAAAGATTATACGTTTTGGTTTGCGAAACCATTTTCTGAGATTGATTATAAATTGGATTATGAAATGGTTTTGGAACCATATCGTGATTTATGATATGGGTTATGAAATGATTTCTGGATTTGGTATTGTGGATTATTTGAGGATGTGTGTTGGTGCTCAATATCACTGTGAGCCCATTGAGGGGCTTGTGGGTATGCGCATACTAGTCTAGGATATCCTTGTGGGCCGAGCCACCGGCTTATAGTAGGTGGAGACCTTGCCAAGGGGGGAATCTTGATCGCCTTATCACGGGGCGAGATATGTGATCATGGTTTGATATCGAGCAATAGATTGGTCGATGGATAGACCATCGATGTGTTTTTTTTGCTATGCCGGGGCAAATCCTGGAGAGCGATGGCAGTGCGGCTGCGGCTCAAAAAGGATAATATCGGGTCGGGTTGAGGGATGGCAGTGCGGTTACGCCTCTACCCCAAACGAGGCCTTTTATGATGAGATTCATTAATGGAATAGACCATTGATATGTGATTTGAGATTGGCCGATGGAATAGACCATTGGCGTGTATTTTTTTGATGAAATTTGCCAATGGAATGGACCATTGGTTTTTGCTTTGATATTATTGATTTAAATGAGTGTTTTCTAGTTTGTATCGAGTTTTGTGAAAAGGAAAAATAACTCATATTTGATATGATATGTATATGATATCGTGGGTTTAAATTATGAGTTTTCGATATTTTTATATATGCATAGTAGTTGCTCGATCTGCTTAGAAGAGATACACACTGCTTACTGAGCTGTCGTTGCTCACCCTCCTCTTTTCCCAATCTTTCAGGTTCTTTATTTAGCAGCCAATAGAGCAAGAGCGATGTCATGGGGACTTTTGGGTGATTTGAGGCTGCGTCCTTCAGGTGGAAGGACGGCCGTGTC